AATATAACCGAAAGGGTAAGATTAATGACTCTAACACGAATCTTCTCAATATTTCTTACGTTTTTCTTCACTGTCGATGGAAGTTGAAAAATTAACTTTCCAAAAGTATATTTTTACACTTTTTTGTAGTCGGACACCTGGGGACGAGTTTCGCAAGGTGCACCTTACATTTTCAAAGACAATTTTACCGTGTTGTTGTTGTTTTAGATTCAGCTACTCGGAACAAAAAGTTCCAGTAGCACGGGTTATGGTGAGCCCGTAACTTACCTGGCACAGGAGCGGGGCAAGTAGCACGGCTATGGTGAGCATGTAGTGGACTCACCTGGCACAGGAGCGGTGCTGTATCAGTGTTTTGACGTGTTTAACATCGGATTATATACTCTTCGGGTGAGGTGGTGGATGAATGCCATAATAAGCGGGTATTAAATACATCAGTGAATAAATGGAACAATGGGTCAATTCAATGACCCATTGTTCATCATGTGGCTCCATCCATGCTTCAATCCATTTCAATTTATAAATGGATCAGGGGGTATTAATAGGATCATTGGATGCTGTGTCCGTGTTGGCTCTGGGTTTTGAAGTGAGCAGAATGCAATTGTGTTTAACTGGTTGTTGATTGCTGGTCTGGACTTCTTAATATGTAGGTCCTCGGTGATGTCCAGTCTCCTGCTGTCGTTATATCTGTCAATTATCTCAGTGTTGCTTGTTAAGGTGTGTCTGGTGATAATCTGGTTGTGTGTGGAGATTACATGTTCCTTGATAGAGCCCTGTTGTGTATTGTTAATCGCCTAGAGAGGCGTTGTTGTCTTGCCTATACACTGAGATCATTGGTGCTGATAGTCCCCAAGTGGGCATGTGAAGACATAGACGACGTTAGTCTCTCTTTAGGCGTTTTGCTAGGTGTCTGGAGAGTTTCATAAGCAAGTTTGCGGTCTTCTTGTTTTTGTAGTAAATTGTTAGTTGCATCTTCTGATTGGTGTCTGGGGATGACGTTCCTTTCAATAATACTTTTCAGGACCCTTTCCTCAGTTTTATAGGCCGTGGAAATCATTGTCTTTGTCACCAAACATTGTCATTAAAAATGTAAGATGTACCTTGCGAAACTCATCCCCAGGCGTCATACTACAAAAAAGTGTAAAAATGAACTTTGGAGAGTTAAATTTTCAACTTCCCTCGACAGTGAAGAAAACGTAAGAAATATTGAAGATTCATGTTCATTCAGCAGTCATTTCATTGGTACTTGGTGTCGTACTGACTTGGATGCCAAGACTCGCTGAAAATTACGGAGAAAACCTAAGTCTTTAATTGTGTTTGTATTAATCATTTTGTGGTGTTCATTATTATTAAAATAGCGAGTTCGGCAAACGTGAATTTCAGAAGTTTTCCTTTAAATTATATAAAAAAAATGTTGACTTGTAATCTCGTATGTTGATTAAACTATTTTGATTATTTTTTATACATTTTACATGTGCTTATTAAAGATTTTTGGAGTTAAAGCTTCATGGAAAAACATCTGGAAAAGATCGATGTCTCAAAAACTGTTCAAATAGAACAGTCTGAACTTAAAAAAATGTAATAAATATTTTGTATTCTTTCTCCGCGCAAACTGCATTTATTTTTTTTTCATAAAAACATAAGTATATAACGTAGTTTATGCAGTGATTAAATTTTTTCAAAGAAGTTATTAGACTGTACCTAAAATGATTTAAAGTAATTATGGCTGAGAATAGAGGCAAGGTGGTTAAAGGGGAGCAAACGTGGAACAAAGGAATGACGGCTACATCATGCCCAAATTTCATAATAACACTCAATATATTTTTTTAACTCAAATTATTTACCCGATGACTTAATTACCAAGTATTAAAAAACAATTGAACCCTTATGTGAGAAATTATAGTTCTGAAATGTGGCTCTGTGGACTACCTGGCACCGGGGAATTTTTTTTTTTTTTTTTTTTGTTAATTTAGCTGAACCGAATCGAGTCCAGATAACCTATCCGACCATCATGTGAAATTGTGGCTAACCTGAACATGCTAACCTACCGTAGCCTAGCCTAACATAACCTTCCGTAGCCTAACCTGTTGTATTTTCTATTAACCTGTAAACTACATTCACGGGTGGTGTGGTTTAAGTGTTAATAGTAAACGGTAATAAGTAGTTATAATTAATAGTAGTAATAGTTAATGTAGTTTTAAGGGATAATGGTGGGACGCAAGAAGATGCCTGTCAGTGCTTATATAGCCTACACTAACAACATTTTTGTTTTTATTTTCAAAACCTAATAATAATTTCTCCAAAAATGTATATATTTGGAATCAGAGAGTAATGCTATGTAAGTTTGATAGGTTTTGATTAAATATTTTTCAGTTTAGATAATAAGAGATAAGTAATAAGAACTCCAAGATATATTTAAGCCAAATTTTGGGTACGAGTCGTACAGAAATGTACAAAAATGACCACTGTAAAACCCATTGCGTTCTTGAAGAAAGTGGACATACTGTTGTTTCAGACCATACACAATTACTTAACTTTTATCTTCCACTTGCTCATTCAGGGCTGATTAAGAGCTTTGTCGGTTCCTCTGAGTTCTCTAACGCGAAATATATATATGTTGGATGTCTTGTTCTTGTTTCTATGCCTTGTTCTTGTTTCTGTCTTGTTCTTGTTTCTGTCTTGTTCTTGTTTCTGTGTCTTGTTCTTGTTTCTGTGTCTTGTTCTTGTTTCTGTGTCTTGTTCTTGTTTCTGTGTCTTGTTCTTGTTTCTGTGTCTTGTTCTTGTTTCTGCGTCTTGTTCTTGTTTCTGTGTCTTGTTCTTGTTTCTGCGTCTTGTTCTTGTTTCTGTGTCTTGTTCTTGTTTCTGCGTCTTGTTCTTGTTTCTGTCTTGTTCTTGTTTCTGTGTCTTGTTCTTGTTTCTGTCTTGTTCTTGTTTCTGTGTCTTGTTCTTGTTTCTGTGTCTTGTTCTTGTTTCTGTCTTGTTCTTGTTTCTGTGTCTTGTTCTTGTTTCTGCGTCTTGATCTTGTTTCTGTGTCTTGTTCTTGTTTCTGTGTCTTGTTCTTGTTTCTGTGTCTTGTTCTTGTTTCTGTGTCTTGTTCTTGTTTCTGTGTCTTGTTCTTGTTTCTGTGTCTTGTTCTTGTTTCTGTGTCTTGTTCTTGTTTCTGTGTCTTGTTCTTGTTTCTGTGTCTTGTTCTTGTTTCTGTGTCTTGTTCTTGTTTCTGTGTCTTGTTCTTGTTTCTGTGTCTTGTTCTTGTTCTTGTTTCTGTGTCTTGTTCTTGTTTCTGTGTCTTGTTCTTGTTTCTGTGTCTTGTTCTTGTTTCTGTGTCTTGTTCTTGTTTCTGTGTCTTGTTCTTGTTCTTGTTTCTGTGTCTTGTTCTTGTTTCTGTGTCTTGTTTTTATTTTCTAGGCATATTATTAAAATAGCGCTCGTCTAGTTATAGAATTATGAGCCAATTGGATGATCCCGCCTAACACTCGACCAAACTACGACGTTGCCACAACGTTCCAACAAGGTTTAACACCTAACAATCGTAACAAGCAATATAGTAAGTCATAAAAACGTTATATAACAAGATGTAACAACTTTATTACAAGTTGTAACAAGGGAATCATAGGACCGTTACGTTGTGTTTGTAGGGAAGTCCCTAATATTATGTGTTCCAGTACCCCCTTCATTTGGCCTCAAAATGTTCCTGTATGGCCTCTGCGCTTGCCAGAATTATAGGCTACATTAATGGGCCTATAATTAGGCCATTAGGCCTATTAGGTGTTTAACCGGGCAGTTTTGGGCTCCCAGTCCGCCCCTGGGCTGATCCACACGAGCAGTGTTATATTTGGTTAGCAGCGGCTCCCATTGGTAGATTAAAGAGCTAACCAATTGTACTTGTGAAACATGTGCCCTGCACTTGGTGCGCATGTAGAATATCAGTGAAGATTAATACTTGGAGTTGCTTATGTACGTAACAAATTCATTGAATGGGTTGATTTATTTTTGTATTAGTAGCAACTTGTGGATCTCCCTCATACTAAAATGCACCATAAAAACTTTATACTTCTAAAGCGTATATTTTCAATCGGCTTCGATTGGTTAGGAGGGATGATGTAGATTTTGTTTTGGTAGGGTAAAGTATACACACTGATTCACACTGGGAGGGAACAGGGGTGAAAGATAACGTTAACATGTGATTAAAAAACGATAAGAGGTATAACTGGAGGAGAAAGAGAGGGGGAGAGAGGAGTGTTAAGACAGAATGCTGCCTCCCGAAGATGCAATAAAGGAGATATTGCGATTGCTAAGATGTGTTGCACAAACTATTAAGAGAAATGGCATGTTATCTAGAGGTTATCTAGAGATGATTTCGGGGCTTTTAGTGTCCCCGCGGCCCGGTCTTCGACCAGGCCTCCACCCCCAGGAAGCAGCCCGTGACAGCTGACTAACACCTAGGTACCTATTTTACTGCTAGGTAACAGGGGCATAGGGTGAAAGAAACTCTGCCCATTGTTTCTCGCCGGCGCCTGGGATCGAACCCGGGACCACAGGATCACAAGTCCAGTGTGCTGTCCGCTCGGCCGACCGGCTCCCTGTTGTTGCCCATGTTGCCCCCGTGGAATGTGAAAGTGAGAGGCGTAGCCAATGTCCAGAAAATGAAGTGGATTTTCTGAAGTCACTCTCAAGGGAAAAGAAGAGATGAGGAAGTAGTAGTATGATGATAAGAGATCTGAAGATTAATTAACCAGATTAAGAAATTAGGAACTAAATAGGATTTCTTTTATGCTGAAAGCCATATAAAAAATAATGTTGAAAGTGGAATAAGGAGACTGTTGGGTAAAAGGTAATGGAGGTATTATGTCGGGGTAATGTTAAGGGGGTGAAGACGTTGGTGATTGGCTGGAGCTGAAGCACCAATTGCATTGGTGAACGTAAATCCTTTTGTTGATTGTGTAATTGGTTTTGCTTAATGTAAGCACTTAGCATATAAGCACAATTACATATAAGGCTTCGCTTTATATGTAATTAGCTTTGCTTGATGTGTAATGTGTTCTGTTTGATGGGTAATGGTGTTCTGTTTGATGAGTAATGGTGTTCTGTTTGATGGGTAATGGTGTTATGCTTGATGGGTAATGGTGTTCTGTTTGAGTAATGGTGTTCTGTTTGATGTGTAATGTGTTCTGTTTGATGGGTAATGGTGTTCTGCTTGATGTGTAATGGTGTTCTGTTTGATGAGTAATGGTGTTCTGTTTGATGTGTAATGTGTTCTGTTTGATGTGTAATGTGTTCTGCTTGATGAGTAATGGTGTTATGCTTGATGTGTAATGTGTTCTGTTTGATGGGTAATGTTGTTCTGCTTGATGAGTAATGGTGTTCTGTTTGATGAGTAATGGTGTTCTGTTTGATGAGTAATGGTGTTCTGTTTGATGGGTAATGGTGTTCTGTTTGATGAGTAATGGTGTTCTGTTTGATGAGTAATGGTGTTCTGTTTGATGAGTAATGGTGTTCTGTTTGATGAGTAATGGTGTTCTGCTTGATGAGTAATGGTGTTCTGTTTGATGAGTAATGGTGTTCTGTTTGATGAGTAATGGTGTTCTGCTTGATGAGTAATGGTGTTCTGTTTGAGTAATGGTGTTCTGCTTGATGAGTAATGGTGTTCTGTTTGATGAGTAATGGTGTTCTGTTTGATGAGTAATGGTGTTCTGCTTGATGAGTAATGGTGTTCTGCTTGATGAGTAATGGTGTTCTGCTTGATGAGTAATGGTGTTCTGCTTGATGAGTAATGGTGTTCTGCTTGATGAGTAATGGTGTTCTGCTTGATGAGTAATGGTGTTCTGCTTGATGAGTAATGGTGTTCTGCTTGATGGGTAATGGTGTTCTGCTTGATGGGTAATGGTGTTCTGCTTGATGAGTAATGGTGTTCTGCTTGATGAGTAATGGTGTTCTGCTTGATGAGTAATGGTGTTCTGCTTGATGAGTAATGGTGTTCTGCTTGATGAGTAATGGTGTTCTGCTTGATGAGTAATGGTGTTCTGCTTGATGAGTAATGTGTTCTGCTTGATGTGTAAGTGTTCTGCTTGATGAGTAATGTGTTCTGCTTGATGAGTAATGTGTTCTGCTTGACGTGTAATGGGTTCTGCTTGATGAGTAATGGGTTCTGCTTGACGTGTAATGGGTTCTGCTTGACGTGTAATGGGTTCTGCTTGACGTGTAATGGGTTCTGCTTCATGCAGCGTACTCACCTAGTTGTGCTTGCGGGGGTTGAGCTCTGGCTCTTTGGTCCCGCCTCTCAACTGTCAATCAACTGGTGCACAGATTCCTGAGCCTACTGGGCTCTACCATATCTACATTTGAAACTGTGTATGGAGTCAGCCTCCTCCACATCACTGCTGTTGACTACTGACACTGAAAAAGTTCTTTCTGATGCATAAAAGTGTTGACATGGGGCACGGTGTAAAATGTGGCAGGGGGCACGGACAAAGTGATACTGTGGGAGATGTGTGTAAACCGCAGTAGCTGTTCTCTCGGCCAATATAATGATAATAATAATGAGTAATATAATTTGTGTAAGATCAATATAGGCCTGGTATATACCTGTTCCACCTGTTCCCATTGTTTGCCAGTTGTTCGTTCCGGGGATTAACATCTTCGCGGGTCGGTCTCTGACCAGTCCTCCTGGTTGGTGATCTGGTCAACCAGGCTGTTGGACGATGCTGCTGCTCCCAGCGTGACATATGGATCACAGCCTGGTTGAACAGGTATCCTTCGGAGGCGTTCATCAGGTTCTTACACGAGCACAGTGAGAGGAGAGTCGGTTGTGCCTCGTGTGTGAAGAGACAGTGTTGAAAAGTCTTGGCCGTTGATTTTGACAGTTTTCTGTCTCAGCGTACCTAGTGGGTCTCCGCAATGGTGTTGCTTAGCCGGGGCTGTGTTGCATATCCTGCCATGTCTCTTAGTTTTATGTGGAGTGATTTCCGTGTGCAAGAGTTATCAAAATGAATTGCATTATAAGAATAGATCTGTAGTAAGATGTTGTGTGGGGCGAGGCATCCAGTGGAGAAAGCACGTAAAAGATTGATTAGTAATGTATATGATAAAGTAAATAGTTTTTTCAAAAGCAGTAAGACGGTATGGAATGGTTACAAATGTTATTAAATGTTGGAGAGATCATTTATGCAGGTTGTGAGAGTGAGTGGTTTGATGCTAGAGCCAATGTAACATTACTGGAGGCTTGTGTGGTTTGTCTATACGGTTGGGGTCGTGAGGGATTTATCTTGAGATTATCTTGATGATTTCGGGGCTTTAGTGTCCCCGCGGCCCGGTCCTCGACCAGGCCTCCACCCCCAGGAAGCAGCCTGTGACAGCTGACTAACACCCAGGTACCTATTTTACTGCTAGGTAACAGGGGCATAGGGTGAAAGAAACTCTGCCCATTGTTTCTTCCGGCGCCTGGGATCGAACCCAGGACCACAGGATCACAAGTCCAGCGTACTGTCCGCTCGGCCGACCGGCTCCCTCAAGGTCAAGGTAACAATACTAGAAAGATGTGTCCGATTATTGTATGATTGTAGCAAAGGGAGAAGGCGCTCCCATATTAAATGGGGTGGAGTAAATGACGAAGTTGTTGTTGAAGAAACTGATGCAAGATGTATTTAGTTTGTGGACGTATATTAGAGAATACTGCTTAGTGAATGAGGACTAGAGATAAATAATGGTACGGGGGGGGGGGGGAAAGATGCACAAAATGCTTTACAAGAGTATAGCTATACAAGCCTGGGGCCAGATTTACGAAGCGGTTACGCAAGCACTTACGAACCTGTACATCTTTTCTCAATCATTGGCGGCTTTGTTTACAATTAATAAGCATTTAATGAGCTCCTAAGCACCAGGAGACTGTTTATAACAATAGCAGTTGATTGGGAAGTTTTCATGCTTGTAAACTGTTTAATAAATGTAACCAAAACCGTCAGAGATTGAGGAAAGATGTACACGTTCGTAAGTATTTGAGTAACTGCTTCGTGAATCTGTCTCCTGGCCCCGGGCCGGGCTTGTAGAGTAGAAAACCTCCCAGAACCCTACCCCAGGTACAATCCAAATGATCTAGTTATGTGGTCAATAGGTATATATATTTGGCCTCTGAAATTATAAGGTAAATTTGTGCATATTATTGAGAATAGTCATTATGGGAAGGTAAGTGGGAGAAGGGAAGATCAGGCCAGGAAGCAGTAGGGCAGACGCGTGGGTAAAGAAAGGCTTGCAGGAAGGATTAGTTGTGCCCAGGCTTCCAGAGTGCTAATGCCAAATGCCGGTTTGCAAAGAGCATAAGAGGCAATATCAATTGGGAGATGCATTTGTGGCTGTTAGGAGCTTAGGAGTGGTAGGAATTAAGTTGCTAAAACCGGTTGAGATTTTGAGAAGCTTTGGTTGCATTGTATGAAGTGATATTAGGAGAGGATGTGAACCATCTTGATGAAATAAATATGGAGAGGGAGTGACAGTATTAAATGATAACTCTGGGGGAAGCACGTTACAGGTAGTCGTGTGCCGCGGAGGGGGATAACTGGTGGGAAGTGTAGCTGTAGAGGTTTAGTAAGAGGGGAGCTTGGGGCGGCTCGGCTGGCCCTAACTAATAATATAAGGTAAGAGGAGGAGGGGAAGGTATAGCTTAGTTGCATGTCAACTGTGGCTTTGTAAGTTACGTTACTCATGTTGGGTTAGTTGGTTAGCGTGCGTGTCCACGATGGTGCAGGGAGGTGCCGCTGTTAGGCCCATGCTGGTGGCCCTCTTAGCCTGGTGGGGCCCCCATGCTGGTGGCCCTCTTAGCCTGGTGGGACCCCCATGCTGGTGGCCCTCTTAGCCTGGTGGGGCCCCATGCTGGTGGCCCTCTTAGCCTGGTGGGGCCCCATGCTGGTGGCCCTCTTAGCCTGGTGGGGCCCCCATGCTGGTGGCCCTCTTAGCCTGGTGGGGCCCCCATGCTGGTGGCCCTCTTAGCCTGGTGGGGCCCCCATGCTGGTGGCCCTCTTAGCCTGGTGGGGCCCCCATGCTGGTGGCCCTCTTAGCCTGGTGGGGCCCCCATGCTGGTGGCCCTCTTAGCCTGGTGGGGCCCCCATGCTGGTGGCCCTCTTAGCCTGGTGGGGCTCCCATGCTGGTGGCCCTCTTAGCCTGGTGGGGCTCCCATGCTGGTGGCCCTCTTAGCCTGGTGGGGCTCCCATGCTGGTGGCCCTCTTAGCCTGGTGGGGCCCCCATGCTGGTGGCCCTCTTAGCCTGGTGGGGCCCCCATGCTGGTGGCCCTCTTAACCTGGTGGGCCGCCATGCTGGTGGCCCTCTTAGCCTGGTGGGGCCCCCATGTTGGTGGCCCTCTTAGCCTGGTGGGGCCCCCATGTTGGTGGCCCTCTTAGCCTGGTGGGGCCCCCATGCTGGTGGCCCTCTTAGCCTGGTGGGGCCCCCATGCTGGTGGCCCTCTTAGCCTGGTGGGGCCCCCATGCTGGTGGCCCTCTTAGCCTGGTGGGGCCCCCATGCTGGTGGCCCTCTTAGCCTGGTGGGGCCCCCATGCTGGTGGCCCTCTTAGCCTGGTGGGGCCCCCATGCTGGTGGCCCTCTTAGCCTGGTGGGGCCCCCATGCTGGTGGCCCTCTTAGCCTGGTGGGGCCCCCATGCTGGTGGCCCTCTTAGCCTGGTGGGGCCCCCATGCTGGTGGCCCTCTTAGCCTGGTGGGGCCCCCATGCTGGTGGCCCTCTTAGCCTGGTGGGGCCCCCATGCTGGTGGCCCTCTTAGCCTGGTGGGGCCCCCATGCTGGTGGCCCTCTTAGCCTGGTGGGGCCCCCATGCTGGTGGCCCTCTTAGCCTGGTGGGGCCCCCATGCTGGTGGCCCTCTTAGCCTGGTGGGGCCCCCATGCTGGTGGCCCTCTTAGCCTGGTGGGGCCCCCATGCTGGTGGCCCTCTTAGCCTGGTGGGGCCCCCATGCTGGTGGCCCTCTTAGCCTGGTGGGGCCCCCATGCTGGTGGCCCTCTTAGCCTGGTGGGGCCCCCATGCTGGTGGCCCTCTTAGCCTGGTGGGGCCCCCATGCTGGTGGCCCTCTTAGCCTGGTGGGGCCCCCATGCTGGTGGCCCTCTTAGCCTGGTGGGCCCCCATGCTGGTGGCCCTCTTAGCCTGGTGGGGCCCCCATGCTGGTGGCCCTCTTAGCCTGGTGGGGCCCCCATGCTGGTGGCCCTCTTAGCCTGGTGGGGCCCCCATGCTGGTGGCCCTCTTAGCCTGGTGGGGCCCCCCGGCTGGTGGCCCTCTTAGCCTGGTGGGGCCCCCATGCTGGTGGCCCTCTTAGCCTGGTGGGGCCCCCATGCTGGTGGCCCTCTTAGCCTGGTGAGGCCCCCATGCTGGTGGCCCTCTTAGCATGGTGGGTCCCCCATGCTGGTGGCCCTCTTAGCCTGGTGGGCCCCCATGCTGGTGGCCCTCTTAGCCTGGTGGGGCCCCCATGCTGGTGGCCCTCTTAGCCTGGTGGGCCCCCATGCTGGTGGCCCTCTTAGCCTGGTGGGCCCCCATGCTGGTGGCCCTCTTAGCCTGGTGGGCCCCCATACTGTTGGCCATCTTAGCCTGGTGGGCCCCCATGCTGGTGGCCCTCTTAGCCTGGTGGGCCCCCATGCTGGTGGCCCTCTTAGCCTGGTTGTGCCCAACGTTAAAACCGCGTTCCCGATAAAGAGTAAAGTAAAGAGTGGGTTCCCGAGCCCACTCCCGGTACACCTACCTTGTGTCTACCTTGTGTAGCTTCCGGGGATCAACGGCCCCGCGGCCCGGTCTCTGACCAGGCTTCCCGGTTGGTCGTCTGGTCAACCAGGCTGTTGGAGGCGGTTGCTCGCAGCCTGACGTATGAGTCACAACCTGGTTGATCAGGTATCCTTTGGAGGTGCTTATCCAGTTCTCTCTTGAACACTCTGAGGCCTTAAGTGTAGTGGAAGCGTGTTGAACAGTCTCGGGCCTCTGATGTTGATAGTTCTCTCTCAGAGTACCTGTTGCACCTCTGCTCTTCAACGAGGGTATTCTGCACATCCTGCCATGCCTCCTGGTCTCATGTGGTGTTATTTCTGTGTGCAGGTTTGGGACCAGCCCCTCTATTATTTTCCACGTGTAAATTATTATGCATCTCTCCCGCCTGAGCCCTAGAGAATAAAAATGACAAACTTTTAATCGGTCCCAATCATTAAGAGACTT